CACCATGGCCCTTTGATCTAGGCTTGGATCCTTCCTTAGGTGCCTTCCAGCTCATAAATCATGTAGTTTCATACAAGCAGTTTTATGAAGGCTATAAAAATAAGTTTGTCATTAAATCCTCTACTTGCTATAAAACCAGTTGAATTGACATTAATTTTTTTTTTGTTAAAAATAATTTAGATATGTTATTTCAAAGAGACTTGTGGGGCAATGTTACTTTTCAAAAAGTCCAGCATTATTCTGACAGTACTTCTATGGCATTTTAAGTTAGTGGAGTGGCACGGATCTGAAATTCAGTGCTCAAGCAGGCTTGGGAAATAGAAGATGATATAACCCACCAGGCAAAGGGACAGAAAGAGAGTTTGGGGAACAAACTCTGTGGATTTGGAGCTGTGTTTTTTTTGTTTGTTTGTTTGGTTTGTTTTTTTGTTTGTGAGTGGTTTGTTTTTGGGGTTTTTTGGGTTTTGTATTTTTTTCTTTTGTCCAAATTGTCAATTGCTGTTAAATTGTTCCCCCTCCCCAACAATTCTTCTTTGCCTTTACAGTAAAACTGAGTCCCTGGAAGGAGACCTGGGTATGTGAGGGGTTCGTGTTCAGGTTCCTCCCATTTTTCTTTGTATTAAGAATAACATCAAGAGAGAAGAAACCTCTTCTGTTATGCAGTCTGAAAATAGAAATTGTGAACTTGTGTGTTGAGTTAGGAAGGCTTTTATTGTTTTTAAAATGTCAAATGCTTTTCAGTTTTATTCATCAACAAAAGTATTGTGCACCTTCTCAAGCTGCACGAGGTTTTTTGTTGCTTTTGTCCTGGTATGAAAACACAACCAACTGGAGATTTTCCAGAGTTAACAGTAAATTTCATAGAGAAGCCTGTGTGTAAAATTCTGATTTAGAAAGAATTGTAATCTTAGCTGCAGGTCATAGACAGAATTTAAGTGTATTATTTAAATGTAAGTTAACCTTGAAAAATAGTGAATTCAAAGTGACACCTTCTTGCTCAAAAGATCTCCTCTTTTTGTGCTAAAAGATTTGGCTATTGTAATAGCCCTGTAAAACCAACACAGCTGGGCACTCTTCCTTCTTCCTCTTTTTTTTTTCAGAAATTTCAAATATGCTTAGGCTGCTATCATGTACATATATAACAGGCAAAATTTAGACAAATGGAGTTATATATAAAATCACTTTTGGCCAACAAAGAAGTGCCACTGGTGGCAATAAGTAGGAAGAAAGTAATCTAATTTAACTTTCAAGACTGTGCTCTGAGTTTGCTGCCATGTATGACATGAGCAGACTGAATCTGTAGACCAGTCGTACGTAGTGGGTCCCACCACTTGCCATTATTACAGCTGATTTTCATAAACTGAATTCTGTTTCTTTCATTGAGAAAATTATATTGATTTCTTTCTGTAAGTCGAAGTCTCTCCCTGCCTCTGTGGGAGTGTGCTGGGACTCTACTGCTGACCGAGCACCAGCATGAGTGAGTGCTGTCTCCCTAGCCCTGGCAGATCAAACATCTCCCGCACCCACACATGCGAGAGTCCCTACATACTTTTCCTCTATGCCTACTGCGTATGTGCACATATTCCTTTGAAAATTAGAAAGTTATCTTTTTCAGGTACTTAGTGATAAATAAGTTGAAGACAAAGGTACTGCTTATTTAGTCCTGACTTTACCATAGCCTTGTGTGATGAGTCACAGTTGCTGCTGCTAGTAATTTTTAGGCAGCTAGTGTATTTCCTCAGACTTGCACTGTGCTTGCAATAGAGCTATTGCCAACTAGTGCTATAACATCAGCAGCACTAAGAGGCAGCTTTTCATCTTGGAGGAGAAAAAAAATACACAAACTTGCATTTGCTGAGAGTCATGGCGCAGTGGAAGGGGACTTCTGGAGCTGGTTTCCTTCTCCAACACTAGATCAGATCAGTCACGACTTTGGCTATTTCTTGTAAACCTCTGTGAGACGATACCATGAAGTTTCTCTGGGCAACCCGCTACTGCATTGCCTTGCTATTGAAGAAGTTTTGCCAATATTGAATCTGATCCAAAGGCCATTACTCCTTGTTATATTGTTGGGAACTACTGGGCAGCGCTTGGCTCCATCATCTCTGTCACTGCCTACCAGCATGCTGGATGAAACCAGTCCAGCTCCCTCAACCTCTCCTTACAGACCTGTGCCCAAGATCCTCAACCATCCTGCAAATCATCTGCTTGAACCTCTCTGGTTTCTACACATCTCTCTTGAACTGGGAAGCCCAGAGATGGTCTTCCTATTCTAGCAAAGCCTCACCAGCTTGAGTAGAGGAGGTTAATAACTTTCCCTTTTTTTTTTTCTTTTTCTTTTTTTTTCTTTTTCTTTTCACTGTACTAGTATCTATTTTGCCATATTTACACAGAGAGGGCACCACTGGCTTGTATCGAGCCTGGTGCTCCCCGTTGCTCTTTTGGGAGGACATCTATGTCATCCCTACTTTCCCAGTCTGTGCTGGCCCACGGGGTGGTACTGCCCAGGGTACTCTTAAGTTTCTCCTTGTTGCACTGCAAGAGGCTGCTTCTCCCCTGCCCTGGAGCTTTATAGGGCCTCTGGGGAGGGGAATTTGCTGTCTTAGCCACACCACTGGTTTAGTATTGTGCACAGGCTTGCAGAGGATGTGCACTCTATCATCACCCTTTGCATCTGCATGAAAAGCTTTAAACAAAAAGGATGGTGTTATACTTTGTATCTTAGAGTTCTGTGTTTTTCCAGGGTCACAAATTGCACCAATGGTAATGTAAATTTTCAGATAGCTAATCATAAAAGCAGGAGCTCAGAGCATTTTTGAAGGAAGATTGTAGGGGATTTATCAGGGGATAGTCAAGAATTTATGGAGAGGGTTTCCACAGACAATATATTAAATTATCCAGACTTCTGGGTGTGATCATCTTTCCTGTTTTTACTTTTTCTGTTTATTACTGTTTATTCAGTTATTCTTGGTTGCCATAGTTACAAACCTGAAGTAGTTCCTGGGAAGGAAAATCTCCAACTAAGTCTTAGAGCTGTTTTAAGGAGAAAATGGTAAAAGTTTAGGATGAAATAGGTAGATAAAAATCATACACTGCTGTCAGATTGGGGAATTAAAATGTATTTTCAAATCATACACTTCATATATGCAGTTTATTTAGTAGAACATGTTCTTTCTCACACATATATTTCATATGCAAAATAACATGAAAGGTGCAAAAAAAGAAAGGTTAAGTCATACTGAAAAAGCTGCAAGTTTCTGAATGATTGAGGCAGTAGCAAATAATGTTTTGAAAACCTACTGTTTTGGAACGCTCTTCTTCTTGCCCCTCTGCAGATAATGGTGAAGATAATGGTAAAAACCTTTCTTTGCCTCTGAGCTCCTTGCGTGCCTCAGCTGTGGTCAGAGTTTTAGCGCTAAAGAGTTTTAAAACACATATACATTAGTCCTAGTATTAGATATATGGAGTTTTAGCGCTAAAGAGTTTTAAAACACATTTTATACATTAGTCCTAGTATTAGATATGTACACCTGCCCACTTGCATAATCGATCATTTCTATGGAAATCAATTGACAGCAAATTGTATTTTCAAAACTGGCCCCCTTTCTTTTTAATTTGCTCCAGGCAGAAGGTAGTTTCTTTTCAAATTTTGAAAAAAAGGAACATCTGCCCGAGAAGGAAGACTTGATTAGAAGCAATCTTACATCATTTTTTACAGCTGTTTTTAAAAGGCACAGAAATGGATTTCTTGATGTGAAAGTGTTTCTGGCTAAGAGCATGAACCATGCTGACATAATGGTACAAGAAATGGTCGGCTTAAATTGCAACAAGGAAACCCTGAGTTTAGACTCAGAGCCAAACTTGCAAATGGCATAAGGATGGTGACAGAAGTGCTGATCAACAAGGGTTGAAGCATGTCCAGAGATGTTTTGTTGATGTGTACAGTACAGGCTAGAAGGATTCTCTAAGGAATGAGGTGGATAGAGCTGGTGCAGTCTTCCAGCTGTGAGTGAGCTGTATATCAGACAGGGGCTCCCTATTTTCCTGTGATGCAGGTCTTGCTTCCCTAATTCTCCTCCTCCAAGAAAGAATGAGAAGATAGGCGGAAGAATTTCATAAATGTGTCATGTTATATCTTCAATAGAAATAGTGATGTAGACATACAGCTCATCACATACAGTCTTTCACTAAATGCTGTATTTGAAGGGGTTCTTTTGGTTTTCATGTGCAAAAGTGGTTTTCAAATTGCAGGAGAAAACCATGCTGATTCCTCAGCACAGGTTATCAGAAATGCTTGTTGCTCAAGGAATTGCTGGTATCCAAGATGCTCCGTTGGGGTTGTATACTGGGCAGCCTGTCTTCCATGGAAGAGCAGGGGCTGCTGCCCTGTGTAGCATCCCTGACCAGTGTATGATGTTTACAGGAGGAGGATTCACTATTATCTCAGGCTGGCCAAACTATTCAAAGCAAATGAGCTCCGACAGTGACCTGTAAGATTTACAGAAGGAAAGAGCAGAGTCAGACTTTGAGCCAGATACTGCCTTTTAACTTTCAAATACCTTCTAAATTAGAAAGATTTTGAGAAGTTACTTCTATGTTTGGCCCTTAGCAACAACTGTCTGATCACATTGGCAAAATGAAAACTGGTGCAGCAATGACAAAGACTGATTTTAAATGGCATTCCAGTGATCTGAGTAGTTTTCTCCTGGCAAGGCTTTCACATTTAGTAGATACCATCAAGGCTAATGCTTCTTTTGGTGTCACTCTGCCACTTTGCTAATGCTGGTGCTTTTTTTCCATTATTTTTCCCCTTTCATGTTTAAAAGGAAGAAAAATATGGAACAGGTTCACATTCATGGGAAACATTGTCCTCCTCCCTCCTGCACCCTCCCTGCCATAGCCAAGGTTACCCTACTGCTGTGTCAGGGATAAAGCTCTTGGTGTCCTGTGAGTCAAGTGGGAGGTGAGGAAGAGGCATTCTTTCACTGCAGGCAGTCCCATCATGTGGCACAAGGCTTAAAGACAGGACATAGTTCAATAACCTTTTTCAGGTGTGTTTTCTCACGAAATTCTTTTGCAGCAAAGTAATAGAAGATGGCATCCAGGCAGCAGTTCAGGTTGGCTAATATCATTGACACCTGAATGAAGAGGCTGATGGTTTGTTTCAGACTGCAGTCCACTATCACGTGCTGTCTTACCAGGCACTGTAGGCAGATTGCAAGGTGGACAGGTGTGAAGCACACCAAAAACACCACAAGGTTGATGATAATGACTCGTAAAGAGCCACTGCCTTCTACCTTCTTTTTAGCTTGACTTTTGTGATTCAGAAGAATCGAGATGTTTTGGGCAGAGCAGAAAACCATCACCCCGAGTGGGATCAGAAATCCAAAGATTTCCACAGAAACAATGAGGGGGGTGCTCCAAGCCTGTTCTGACATGTTGTAAAAGCATGTAAAATAATCTTTCTTGTGAAACACATACATTGGGCTGCTGCAAAGCCAAGCTACTGCCCAGATGAAGCAGCAAATCAAGATTGCCCATTTTGGGGACTGGTTAGCTCGACCTTCAAATGGGTGCCTTATGCAGATGTATCTGTCAACAGTAATGCAGACAATGATGAAGATACTGCCATATGTGTTGACGAAATAGAGAGACTCTATGAACGAGCACAGGAGTCCAGGCGCTCGTCTGATAGAGTAGTACAGCTTGAGTGGGAGCGAGAGAAGCAGCAAGACATCTGCAAGTGCGAGATTGATCATGTAAACTGAGGTTTTGGTCTGTTTCTTCCAAAAGCAGCAGAACACGGAGAGGGCCAGGCTGTTGAGAACCACCCCAAGAATGAAGATGGGTGTAGAGATCCCCAACTGCAGGGTCTTTGCTAATCTGTCGATGTCTGTAAAATTGCATTCCCTGCTGCTGTTGGTCATTTTCCCCCTAAAACAACAAAGAGAACAGGTTGGAAATGTGTGAGATTCCCAGTTATAGCCCTGATATATCAGAGCAAGATACTTTCAAACACAGCTCTGGGCTTTTTTAGTTTTGAGCTCTACACTTGATCAGTCTTTGGCTATTATTGACATTGAATCCTCATTTCAAGCAGAGAGCTTTCTATTTCCAATTTGAGTGGCTCGATTTGTTAGAAAGAAGCCTGATTCTCAATGGCACGTAGTCAGCATCCACTGACTACCATGCCCTTTAAGATTCTTCCATTCAGATATGGAAGAGACTGACACACTCAAACTTATGTTTTCAAAAGCTCTAAAGTGAGCTGGCTATCTCTAGTAACTTGTACATCTATTGAAACTTCCATAACACTTACGTTCAGTTCCTTTGCTACACAGAAATTAGTGAAATCATTGTTCCATATTAAGGCAGGTCAAACTGATAAGAGGGATTTTACTCCTATATCCATGATTCCCAGTGCATGAGTAGCTTTTGCTGGTGTGCTATTACTACTCATATTCATATGGATATTTTAATTTCATATAGTGCTTCTAGGAGATGCAGTTTTTTAGGTCACCTTAAGAAGACTGATCTCTTATCTAGGTGCAAATTGAGTAAGCATGTTTTCTAGCTTGTGTTTAACTTTCAGCATTGGTTAAATTTGGGGTTTGCAAATACTTAAATTTTAACTGATTATCTTAGATAATCTGGTAAAGATTAGCAAATAGAAGACAGGACATCTTAATAATACAGTTCTTTAAAAAAGTATAATTTGTGTGGAAAAAGTGTTATTACTGTTCTTAAAAATATGCTTTTAAAAATAATCTCTTTAAATCAAAATCACAAAAAATTCTAATGAAGGAGAAGAAATTGTTAGTTCAAGTTTCCAGCCCAGCCAACCAAGTAGCTCAAAAGAAATTTTAGGAGTAAGTGAAGACATTTTAAGAAGAACTTGATCAAGAGGAGAATCTCTACTTTGGAGGACAGAAAGTGACAAGTTGCTCATAAGCACTGCCAGATGGAGCTGAACTTTGCTAAAGAAACAAACAAACAAAAAAACAATTAGTGAAACTTTTTTGTTTACATGGGTGAAATAAAATTTAAAAAAAAGAGAGAGAGAGAAATGGAGAACAAGTACATCTGCTAAATATTAAGGAGGCCATCTGAGGAGATGGCCTTGGCTTTTGCCAAATCTTATACCTCTGCTTTTCATAGGGATGCGGATATTGTGCTGGAGGTCAGAGGTGGGACGACTTACAAGAATCAGTGAACGATAATGGGAATAACTGTATCTGAACACAGAATGCACCCAGAGCTTAACATGCTCGTATTAGGGAAAACAGTTTATTTCTAGCTCAGACTACAGAAAGAAGAGGCACATAATGCTGAAGGTCCAACCTAGTAATTGTTATGAAGTATGTATGTTATTAGTGTATCTGAAAAGGATCAATCTAGTCTGTCTGTTGAAGGAAAG